GTTTATCAATGGTAAATATACATTCTCTACCCACTTCCCAAGCAAAAAAAAAAACTACTCTAGGCAGAGACATTCACCCTCAACATCAGTTGACATCCTCATCTCTATTGGGTTTAACTTTTTTTTTAGATAAATCTCTATTGTGTTTAACTAGGTATCTATAATAAGATTTGACCGAGAAATTCCCTTTCTTCTTTAATTTCCACAAAGGTTGATCCATGTTCTCATTTATAGAAACAGTAGCCAACAGTCTACACAGATTCTCATATTCTTCAATTTCCCAATCATTGAGGTTTCTGATAACACTGATGTTCCATTCCCTGTTTCTCTCCCCATCTCTGTACACTTCTTCAACAGTGATGTTTTTCCTCCGGGCAATGGTAAAGATCTAGGGAAATTGAATACTAAGCTTTCCCCCTTCAACCCACTCATCTCTCCAAAACAAAGTGTTATTTCCCCTCCCAACATTTCACCGGATACACTCCTGAAAAGTCTGTCTTCCTCTACTTATTTTCCTCCACATCCCCAGCCCATATGGTCTAGCATACTCTCTATTGACCCTCCCCATCCCGAGTTCCCCATTTCACATCAATCACTCTTCTTCACATCCTATCATCTTCCCACAAAGACCTCCATAACCATTCCCCAAGTAGAGCCTGATACAATTTAACAAAGGATCCCAACCCCAACCCTCCCGAGGTCATTGGTCTTTTGACCTCCTCTCATCTCACCAAGTAATATTTTCTCCTTTCTTCATCGTAACCTGCAAAAATCTGCATTGAATTGTCTGTAGTCTTTTTGCCAATCTCATAGGGATTGTTGATAATGATAAACAGTAAATAGGTAGATTTTGCAATTTACTCCTTACCAGTGTTAATCTGCCCCCTTTGGACAAGAATACTCTTTTTTTGAGTAATAAAGTAAGGAAAGGTGAATTCATACTCATACATATACTCCCATTAAGACAGAATTCCCCAAAACACTTAACATATATCTCTCTTGATGATTTGCCAGCAATCTTTAAAGATTTGTCTATTTTTGAATCCATCGAATCCAGAAGCCGTGTTGATACCTAAAGCCCAAACAGCCCTCCATATTTCCTCTTCCTCAGACATTTTATCCATTCCTTTTTGTCACTCATAATGGGTACCCAATCAACTACTTCTAGGAACAGCCTTTGGTCTTCTTCTTCCTTTACATAAGTTCCTGTAATATTGAATAAGCTCCCTCCCTACTACATCCCTTCTTCTTTCAACTTCCCGGTTATCAAGCTCAAGTTCTTTTATTGCATTTTTCCTTCTTCAGCCGTTAATAACTTTATGGTATAGTCGAGTGTTGGCCTCCCCATCCTTGACCCACTTAATCTTCAATTTCTGATGCCAACGTCTCTCATCTAACACCAAGACCTCCGGCCTCTCACTTTTTAACTTTGATAGGCGCTCCGTCTTAATCTGTGAGATAGTACTCTCTACTTCCATTCTATCTAAATCTCTATCTCATTTTGAAGTTCTGCTTTTCATAGTCTCACATTTCTGAAGACTTCCTTATTCCAGATTTTCAGTTTATCCTAGAGGTGTTTTAGTCTCTGCATGCATTTGTATCCTTCCTAACCTTCCCATTCCTTGCTGTGCCACTCCTCTCTTACTATCCTATTGAAATTCGGATGTTGTGTTCACATATTCTCAAAATGAAACAGAGTAGGACCCCATCTGATCCACTGGAATCCAAGCACAATAAAGAAATCCCCTTACACAAGCTTGCGAAAACTTCCTGCACCAGATGCAGGAAACTATCCACACCATGAGTAGAAATCAGGAATGCATCCAGGCAGCAGAGATTACAGCATTTCTGTTAACAGACAAAGTAAATTGAGCATTGTCCAATTGGATATCTTGAAGCCCAGAATCCTCTATAAAAGTCATTAAACTTCTGCATCGAAGTAGGCATCCTTCTCCCTCCTAATTTCTCCCGAGGCCACCTGTATGCATTAATATCCCCTACGAGACACCAAAAAGGGTTACACAGACCAGATAGATAAGATAATTCCTCCAAACATGTGACTTACGTCCATACCTAGTGGGGCCATATAGATTTGTGATCTACCAATAACCTTTGCAGTTTATATTAAGAAGTATTGACTATGAATACACTCCCTCAATATTAAATACTCTGGTAGCCACCTAATATCCAAGATAACCAAAATTCCACCACAGGCCATTAGAGAAACGAGGAACAAACAATCTTTGAATCTATTTTCCCAAATATTCCGAATTAGGATATGATAAACTTCTTCCTTTTTTGTTTCTTGTAGCATGAAAACGTCTGAAGCTTATTCTTAACACGGCTTCCTTGATTTGCTTTCATTTCATCGCATTACCCATACCATTAACATTCCAATTCACTATTTCATAGTGTACCCAACAATCCCCTCTTTTTCCCATCTCCCCTCAACCATCCTAGAATTGTTCCTAAGACCCTCTAATACATGTTTTTTCCTATGAACATATGTCCACAAAGAGACAATCACTCTCACCACTTTCCCCGTGTTACCCACTGACCTAAAATCCATCTTATCCCGATCAAAGTTTATCAAAATTGGCTAATGCCCATCATTCTTTCTGGCATTACCTTGCTCCACTGCGATGTTTGATAACCCTGACCTTGTTCGTTTTGAGGAGTAAAAGGTTGCTTTTGACTAATAAACCTGTCCCTGCACTATATGAAGTATAGGTACGTTAAAAGAATTGAGAAGAGGATGGGTATTACAAGGAGCCTTTAGAGAGTCATCATCAGTATGTGGAAAGCAGTCAGTGGCTTCTTTAGGTGTATGGCCTTTAGATGAATTGCCATCTGTTGTAGGCTCTTCACTCATTTGAAACTCTTCCTACGTCTCTGTTTCCTGACTCATCTGTACATTGTTATCTGCAAACATGAATTGGAGTCTGTCCCACATCTCTTGTATAAGCTCTTGTGCAGCTATTTTATCGTACAATCTCCTCTAAGTCCTCCTCATCCTCCTCCACATCTAACTTAGCATCTTAATCCATCTCATCCATAATCAAATTGGACATAAACTTGTTTCAAAAATTAACTCCATCCAATGAAAGAATCTTGTGGTCACCCTAAATCATAGCAATTTAAATCTCTACCTCCACTACCACCTCATCCACTAACAACCAATTAGCTAGGTCCAACTTGGTTAGTTGCTTTTTTTTTCTCCTCTAATAAAACCCACCTCAACCTCTTTCTTGTTCAACTTCTCAATCACCCTAAAAAACTCCTTCCTCTCTATAACCCTGTTGTCATAAAAAAATGGAACTCCAAACTTTAATCTTTGAGTTAACGTAGGCGAGTCTTTTTGCAACACAAAAGCTCACATAAGCTAGACACATGATTAACTCACATAGGCGAGTCTTTCCCAAGAGGGTAGGGATTCTACCCCTACAAAACTCTCTAGGGCCATAAAAAAATAAATTAATTAAGACCAATTGCTGCGAAAAGATGATGGTGGGAAGAAACATGTGGACCTCATTTCTTGTTATATTTTGGGTGGTGCGGGAAGAAAGAAACAAGAGAGCTTTTGAAAGGATAGAATATGATTTTGATAGGATTGGACATAGATGGTTTCAGACCCTGAGCTTTTTGGTTATAAATCATCCTCTTTATTCTATGGAGGATTTTAGAAGTCTTATTGATATCTTAATTGAGATATAAATAATTTGTACGTGGGTTGGCACCTCTTTGGTGCTTGTGTATTAATGATAAATACCATACTTTTTTATTTCCAAGGAAAAAAAAAAAGACACATGATTTTTTAGGTTTCCCTTTACCTGTCATGCAAAGGAGTAGCTCAGTTGCACTATACTAAAAACGAGCAAAGACTTCCCTTTTCTATTTTCTTTCTTGATTTTGTTTCTTTCTGTTAGAGAATATTGCTAATTATTTGAGTCTCTTTCCTTAACAATTGATGAAGAATAGGAATATTTCCTATAGTCGCATTAGAGAATAGTAGGTTGCTTTCCTTATATTATTTTATCAATAGTTAATATTTTATCGAGGTAAGTTTATTGAATAATCCCTATTTAGTTGGATTTTATTTTTAGTTTTCCCATTCTTATTCATAGGCATCTCTATTAATATATGTATTTCTCCAATATATTTCAATTTATCCTTTTAACAACAAAATATCTCTCTTTCAAACAACTACTTGACCCCGTAGCATCAACTGAAGTTACTAACACCGGGATGAATTTATAGTGAAGAAGTACAATACTTGGTAAAAGCAAAATACTTATTTCTCATTATCAAGACAGAAAAATTAAACAGGAGCACAAAAGAGTCATCAGATATTATGACTATTCTTAAAAACATATGGCATGACAGATTTCTATTATTGTCTAATACAAGTTTATAAAACCAATTAGGAGACTATTGCTTAATCGTAGCAATTAGGAGAATATTGTCATACTACCAATTAGAGAAGTTACAAGTACAGAAGAAAGATGCTCTTAACGACAAAAGCATAAATTTTAAGATATTACATCCTACTCTATGGAAGTATAAGATTTTGGAATATAACTCTAGAAGGCCTTAGCTACTCACAAGATCACGGCGATCCCTGTCACTCTTAAAAAGTTGAAGCCACCTGGAACTTAAATGATATTTTGTGGATCCACCCTGTATTAGGAAGATGAAAAAAAAAATTAGATTGTACAACACACACTAAGATGGTAAAACTTGTATTATTGGAAGCAGAATAACAGGATTTGTAATAAAAGGTGTTTTGGCTTGAAAACTGTTAGTGACTGAAAAACCACTTATAAGAATCTAGCTTCACATTTTATTTCAAAAAAAAAAAAGAATCTAGCTTCACATCAGAACATACATGTCCAAATTGCCTCATGGCAGCACAAATTCCCATCATTGAAGAAAACAATTCCATAATTAAGAGGAAGTAACCCAACAAATCTAGATTCAATATATTTACAAAATACCTAGAATAATATAAAGATTCTAAAGTAGAGGTCAATGCAATCCTGCTGAATGATTGACAAAAATCATGATCATAGAAACTGGAAAAATATTCACGACCTTCCTCCAAAACCCCCTCCCCGCCCTTTTTGTCCGGCTAAAGAATTTTAAGCTAGAAGATAGGTATTGTTTCCCTGGTTCTCATGATCCCTTAAACACAAATAAATTCAACTGTCCTATCAAGTGAAGAAATATACTTGGTGATAAGATTTTTTTTTTAATATAAAAAATGTATGTTGTCGACATAAATAACAGTACCAAGGGGGTACCACCCGGTATACAAGATATCTACGTGTCAATTAATAAATCAATGACATTCCCAAAATCATCCAGCCTATTGAAGTCATAACCCAACACTAGTGAACCAAAAACATGAATCCATCAATCCCTAATATTAACAAACTTTCCCTTAATTCCTTCAAATGCTCTAGCATTCCTCTCTTTCCAAACAACCCAAAAAATAGAAAAAAGAATCAGATGAAGATAAGTTTTTTTTTATATAAGCCCGCCCATGCCTAAAGTTCATCCCTCAATGACCCTGCAATCACCCAATTAATCTTAGGAGACCGTACACCATAGACCAGATGCTCTACACCATTGGGCACCATAGAATTGGTGATATATGACCAGATGCCAAAAAATGCTCCTGAAGTTCTTTCAGATTACACCAAGAGGAAATTCAATTTCTTCACACATCATCTTTTCCTTTTCTTTTTTCAGTTTTTCATATAAAGATGAGGGGCATCAAAAGTACCAGAGAAATCAAACTTTCATCAATTCTTAAACAAAATCTATTTCAAACTACAGCTAAGTCATCTTTGAAAAGTGTCTAAACACCACTAAACCCAAACAATTGCTTACCTGCCCAAGCAAAGATGCAATACAAGCACCAGTGTGAACAAGAGGTCCTTCTTTGCCTAAAGCTAAACCACCTCCAACAGAACCAATGCTTCCAAATATCTGCATATTACAAAATGGATACCATCCAAGTATATATGTCATGTAACATCACCAAACACAAAAGCATTCATTGAAATGCCATCTCACCTTTCCAATCAAGGTTCTGAAAAGAAGGATACCAGGGATATCAACTCCTGCACATTTGATGAGATTTAATACAGACAGAGAAGATACCCACTAGAAACTCCTTAAAGAGTAAAATCAGAAGCAGATCAAGAAGTTCACTACCATTCAAATAACCCTTTATTTCAGGAATACCAGATCCTGCTGCTGCTGGAGCAAATTGGGTAACAATATATACAGAAGAAAAGACTAAGGCCAGGTTGATCAGTACGTATATTATAAAACCCGCAAAATATGATTTTTGTACTATTGCAAAAGTCAATGAAAATTTCCAGCCAGCAAAGTTCTCAACGGAAATATTGATGAAAACGGCGGCCAATCCAGTACCTGAAAAAATTGAAAATATAGTGAAAACATTATCTAAATTTGCAAAGATCATTAAATTTTTATGCATTATATAATTTCTCGCCAAAAACATAATATTGCCACCACTTTTAAATGACATCTAATCCAAATTATCTCCTGCTGCAAATGCACAAAAATATAATTGAAATGAGCAGGAATTCCTCTCCAAGAACATAGTATTCAAGTATCTGAATAATCAACACTCAGGAATTAATCTTACAACAAATAATTACAACACTCAAAAATTACAGTTAAACAAATAATACAATAGGACTTGTACTATGCAGTTATTTCCATCAAATGACACTTCTATAACTTCGTAAACAAGTAAAAATTCACAGCGTTTACTAAGAAAGAAAATTTTCCACTATTTCTAAAAGACATATTTCATTCAGATTATTCTCCTGCTATATAAATGCACGGTAATAAGATATAACTGAACAGGGTGCATAATCTTGAACTTCCAAAATCAAGTTCAAGAAAAAATGAAAGAAAACAACTATTACAACTTACCAATTCCTATTAGCAAAGCGAAGAACCATTTTACTATCACATAATATCCAACATATAGCCTCCCTCTTTGAGCCTATATATATAAAAAAAAAGAGTCAAATTAAAACCAATTTGCAGTTTCAGCAACTTTTGACTTAATTTTTTTAGTGTACTTTTCACTGAATTTAAAATAAAATAATTAAATGCCAAAGCGGACAAATCTCTATAAATTGTGCGATGGAGAGGGGAAAACCTGCTCTTCTCTGTAGGCATGATTCTCTATAACTTCATAATCCAGACTCTCAACACCGGCACCATCGCGTCTTGAGCTCAATAGACTGATTCCATCGAGCTCGCAGTCCTCCGATTCGGGAACCCGAGACCATGCGAGCCTCGCCGTCTCAACTCCGTTTCGTAGATGATTGGATAACATGATTGATATCACTATCTGAGTAAATCAGATGCTAAAACCCTAAATTCAAAGACAAAACCAAGGTCCAATCTCCCAGATTCCCTTCACCTACGCAACTCCGTGCAGCATTCGAGATAAAAACAATTTCATTTTATTAAAAAAAAAAAAAAGAACTCAGAGATTTCAACGAAAGATTAAGCAACATAAACAAAAATCAGAAAATTGAAGATTGTTACCATTGGAAGGGGAAGAGAGAAAATGAGAGCAGCGAACTGTGGTAAAGAAAAATGGGTGACTGTTCTCCTCCTGCTATTTCTACTTTTTGTTTCGTTTTGCACGCGCTCGGTGGAGGCGTCTTCTTCTTTGGGCTTTCCCGTTAATATTGACCCTGAATCTAATTGCGTCCACCTCCAAGCTGAACTTACAAATATGAGTTTTTATCCCCTGCATTCTAGCTGGCGACTTTCCAGAACGTTGTAGTTGGAAAATTTTACCTGGGAACTATTAAAATACGTAAGAGTAATAATAACAATAACGATCGAAGGATGGAAATTTTAAGTGATTTTATTATTTTAATATATATTAGCAGTCTATCATATTTTTCACCAACTAAGAAATATCAACGACGTCCAACTGTAATTATTCAATGAGCAATTTATCGTTTGATATTTTGTAATTTGGAGTTTCCAAAAATGACTACATATAATTTAATTTTTTAGCAGTTTTTAGTACTTGTAGTTTGTTAATAAGATAATTATCACATTATTAGTTTTAATTTAGTAATTTTATACTTATCATATATGCCATAAAATTTCTTGTATTTAATCATTTTTATTTATTTTCTTGGTTCATTTTTCCACACTCATGTATTTGGGAATATATTGTAACACAATTAAATACCTTAATTTATATAATTTTTAGATATTATTTGAATGATGGTATATTAATATATGGTATAGTTTTTTCATGATTTTATTTTGTTTGTTTACATTTTTCAAACACATGATATATTTTTTTTACGGTTGTCGCATGATTCAAAAATTATAATTTTTTTTATTTTTTCAAATCACCGATCAGTAGTTTAATGGTGTTTGGATAATTTTATTTCCATTTATACCCTTAATCTTTTTTCTTGTTTACATTTGTACTCATTTACCCTTTTTCTTCTTTGAAACCCGATGTTTCTTCTTCTTCTTCTAAAAAACAAGGGTTTGAGAAATTGCAACAGCAACAACCACCTTTCTCAGACTTCGTCTTCCATTCCATCATAACAAGTATGTTATGTCTCTTCTTCTTCCCATGATTTAGGTTCATTTTCAAGCATATTATACCTGAGTTTACTCTTCTTCTCTTAGAGCTTCTTCGTGCTTTTACCTCTCTCGAGCTTCGACTTTCATTCCATCACAACAAGCTTGTAGGTTTTTGTCAGGTATGCTACGTCTTCTCATGATTTGGGTTTGTCTTTATGACACGATTTATTACCACAGTCGTGTCAACCACAATAGTTCTACATGTAAACTATAGTCACGGTCGTACTTCGCCAAATGTGACCCTTACAATCATATCGCGTTACCACTTTCATTAGAGAATACGTCATCATTCACAAAAAACAGTCCTCTCATATCTTTTCAGAGCAGATAGGAGAGAAACAAAAATTTCTCAAGATAAAAAGTCTAACGAATCATGTCATTTATAAATCATGCATGTCAATATCAATAAATATTTCTCATATTTACGATACAACATCATGCTTCATCATTTTATCA